TTCCTGGTACCATCATGGACCCCGGTCTCCCAACCTGAAACCTAAGATGTATCCTCAACTTCTCACCTCACGTCAAAATTGCTACTCGGCTCTAGTGATTTTTTTTTACCCGCTCAATACTTCCTGTTCTTCCTGTTTAACTCCAGTGCCTCCAGTTCAATCTTGTACAATTTCTTTCCCGAGACATCTCATAGCCTTCTCAATTTCCACTGCACCCCTTCCAATACATCCCCTACACTGCCAAGACGGATCATCCTAAGACCAGATCTAATCATGTCACTTCCCTGCTTAAAAATTATCCAGTGACTGGACACTGCCTTCGTGATAAAACCCAAATTGCTTAACATAATGCGTCAGGCCAATAAGCTGTGTTGGCTACCACCATTCTGTAAACCCTACAATCCAGACGTGCTCATCCCTTACAATTTCCTGAAGGTATAACACGCATCCACAAATATGTGCTTTTTCAGATCTCTTCTTTTATCTCTAATCCCCCTCCACGTTGGGAGAGGTGGCACTTGCAATTATCTTTTTATTTGTTTGTCTCCACAGCTTTACTGAGACATTTCTTGAAAGCTCAGTTCATGATTTTTATTTCTGTACATCCAGCTTCTCTTTGGCACGTGGTCAGCAATGAGCAAAAACACGATGAACGAAAGGATGGACAAACAAGCGAAGTACTTTAAGCTTATCTTAAGTGTTTTGTTTGACTAATGAGACAACCGTTGAACAAAGAATGGAATTGAGGTTGGCATTTATAACACAGCTGTAGCCCTCTAAGCAAAGCTTTGATCTTAAACTTCCCTTCTAATGCTAGCATTACGATTCCACTCTACTAAAAGTCAACTGATACCTTTTGCGAGCACCAGTTGCCTTAAAAGCAGGACCACCAAGAAATACAATTCCACAGCTTTGGGACTCGGACCGAATGGCATCAGATAGCAGACAGACTCTGGCAGTGATCTGTGCCAATGTCCACATCAATTAAGTTTATTTGCTAACTAGTCTTATTACCTATTTCATGTTGGGATTTCTTTAGGGTGTGGGAGAAGGGGACAGATGGGTTGAAAGTCTTCCTTCAGGCATAATACACATAGGATTGGGCAGATGGGTTCCTTTTGGATAATCAACCTTGAGGCCTGGACACATGGACAAGCAGAGAGAAAAAGAACGTACCATTGTCTAGTAAGAGATAAAAATATACTTGGGGCTGGACAAATTTTTAAAAAAGATTTGAAATGTGTAAATCAAAACTGTAAAGAGGCACAATGCCCCTTCCCTTCAAAGGCATGGATTTTTAGGCAACAAGTTTTAATTCTAGTAATGAGTGACCTCAGAAACCTAAAAATCACTTACAAAAAAAAAAACCACTCTTAGCAGTAGGCGGTGTCAAATTGAAATAAGTTTTCTAGTAACAGGAACCAGGCTCAGTTTTATTTCATATTCCTATCAGTTAACTGGATGAGGATTTTATAGAATATTCAACAGATGAGCAAGTGATATTAATCCAGGAAGAAATTATCAGAATCCAAAAGGATTTCCTCGCTGTGGAAAGATGGGTTGAAATAATAAAATAGAGAGATGAGTGAAGAATAATACACTCAGATCTCCCTAAAGCCCAAGGGAGAACAAAATAATCCTTACACAAGCGCATGATGTAGAGACATGTATTTGAGGCAGCACAGCTCAATAGAGTAAGAATTAGAGTTGACAACATAGTTGGCAGGACCAACATCATGACACGACGGGACAAAGAAGTTAGTTGAATCTTTGGCTTTTGTTTTTTTGGGGTTATTTTGTCTTTAATTTCAGAGGCTTTGTTTTGTTCTGTTTTCTTAGTTGAAGTCTAGTCAGTTTACAATGCTGTGTCAATTTCTGGTGTACAACATAATTTTTCACTGTTTAATCACTTTTTAAAAATGACTAATAAATATTAACTTATTTAATTTTTTATAAAATCCTATAAATTATTATTTTGTTTCAGTCAGACATAGGCATACATATATTCTTTTTCAGTTTCTTTTTTATTTTCATTATAGGTTACTACAAGGTACTGAATATAGTTCCCTGTGCTACACAGTATGAACTGGTTGTTTATCTATTTTATATATAGTAGTTTGCTTTTAACAGAAGGATTGTATCTGTTGTGGGAGGTCCACTGACACTTCATTCCAAACTCTGCCCTCCTGTACTCCGCTCACTGCCCCCGGGATGCAGCTGCCCTGCATGCAGGGCATCAGTGAGTCCTCCTTTACTCAGAGTTCCGGCTGGGTGTGGCCAAATGGTAGTGTGAGCAGGAGACGAGGGAGGACAGAGAGTGAGACCAGGGTGCTTCTTCCCAGAGGTCCTTCCTGTACCAAGGGCAAACCAGTCACACAAAAGTTCATGCTGCTGCCAGACAACCTCTGATTCCAGTAACAACTTCCGTCTCTCTCTCCTTCAGGGCAAGGGGAGGTAAGGATGCTCTCCCATGTCTAGCCTTGGGGTTTGCCCAGGCCATTTGGATTTTTGTAAATGGTTCCTTCATTAAAATCTCCTCAAACTGTCTGATTCAGTATGCCACGTATTTCCTGCAGACAGCCTGCCGGATAAACTAGCATTTATTAAGCACCTATCCTACGCCAGGCACTTAAGAGCTGCTACGTGTATGGTTCCAGCACCCCCAAGTAGGTTCTAGCCTTGCTGTGTACTGTACAGATGAAGGGATGCAGGTGTCCAGAGGCTGACTTGCTTAAGTCCAATCATCAAGTAGGTGACCAGGCTGGATGGGACCCCAGGCATCTGACTCAGCCCCCGCTGTTAGTGCTACACTCACCCACTCTGCTCAGAGTCTGATGCTCACATTCTTAATTGGGGCAATAGTTCTTTTCCTTGGGCTTCACACTTTCGGAGGAATTAAACAAAGCTCAAGTGTGTTTAGTGACAATTTCAGGAAGTGTGAGGGGAACTCATAAAGCCGAAAAATGAAGAGCAGGGCGCAAATTTGTAAAATCTTTCCAGAAAGCAATCTGACAATACGCTTCAAGGACCCTAAAGCATGTGCTTATCCTTAGGTCCAGTCATTCCACTTGTAAAAGTCTACCCTAAGGAGATAATCAGAGAATAAATAATGATTTAAGTGCTAAGATTGTCGTTGCAGAGTAAGTTACAAGGACAAAAAAAGAAATCTGAAATAATCTTGATGTTCCACAATAGAAAAATGGTTAACTAAATTATTACACATGTATGTGTATATATCGACTCACATTGATGTGGAATATTAAAGCTATTAAAATTGTGTCTTGGATATAGAACAAATTGGGGAAATTCTCACATTATTAGTATAGGATTCAAAAGGTTATCAAACTATACTCTATGTTTTAAAGTGTGTGTGTGCATGTACACATGCATGTACAGGGGAAAAATGATCTTAGGACTATAAAAACGTTATCTGTATTTATCTGTACATATGTGAATATAAATGATTATTTCATTTCTTCTGTATGACTTTCTACGGAGTTTTCTGTGTTTTTCAGGTTGTACAATAGACTCAAAAAATAAAAATTATTTTAAAACATGCATACTGTGATTAAAATGATATGACTATAACTATATAATCATCATAATAGCCATGATTTATCTATGATTAAAATAATAGGAACTTCATAACCTGAAAGAGAGATGATTCAAGAAGATGTGAAAGAAGGGCTTTCAAAGGGAAGAATTTGACACTTGTCCTGAATGGATCAAACAGAAGACCCTGAACCTACAGAAATTAGAGGACGACAGACTTTGGGTACAAGAAGGAAAAGGATTCTAATAGACTTCGTAACAGTGGGAACACATGGTCTCAAAAGGGTTTGATTTTTCTGTCACCGGAAGTATTCAAGAAGAGGTTTGATTTCTTAGGAAGTTCTTGCAGTGATTTAAACTTTGGACAGGGAGGTAGTCCTAGAAATCTCTCCTTCCAGAGATTCTAACATTTGTGTGCTACTAGACTACGATATCTAAATATTTCCTCACCATCCGAGACTGATTTCTTTGAGATAAAGTAGTTTTGTTTCTGAAAAGTCCTCTTTTAAGCTCCTTTCAGGGGGCAATGTAGAATGCCTTACTAAGTTCAAAAGTAGTTCCTTTGAGGGCAACGGACCTGGCTTTCCATCACTGTGTACTGACTACCTACAGCAGTCCCAAGTGCACGGCCCTCCTACGGCAACCGGTGTTTTCATTTAAGTAAGCCAATGTCCCAGACCTGGTTAACACGTCACCCCAGCTCCACTCCATCCCGCCTGGTCCTCGGTCTCTGCAACACGCCTCCCTTCCCCGCGGAGGACCCTCATCTGCCAGCACCACTGAGTCTCTGGCCCCTCCACCAGCCACCCGGGGAGACACAAAACAAAACAAAGCCAGGCAGAGGAGCTCCTGGGTTTGGGGAAGCCCAGGCGAACCGCTTGCCTTCTCCTCAGCTCCCTCCCATCTCCCAGGGATGTGGAGGTTCTACAAGCCCTCTCCCGGGCCGAGCAAACGGGCTCCCTGTCACTTCACAGCGATTTCCCGCCCCTGTAAAGCGTTCACACAGAAGCTTAGCTCTCTGGTCTGTTCTCTGAAGGATCTGCCCTAAGACGGCCACTGAAATTGTATTTTGAGTTGGTTCATCAAAGGATAACAAATCCACCCTCTGACATCTTTCTGGAAGAGTGAGCCACAGGTAAATTCTGCGCAAAGAACCAAAGGGAGCCTGATGTGAGGCCTGGAGGAGGCAGGGAGAGCTCTGCAGTGAGCAGCAGCACGGGGAGTCCGGGGCCAGAGCCGCGGCCTGCTGACCGCGGGCAGATGTGAGAGAGTGACCCGCAGAAATCACCTCCGCCTGCATCCAAAGCTTGCCTGCGGAGGGGAAGCTTTACCAGTCAACTCCCTCCTTGCTCCGCCCTCCCCAGACTTCCTGAAGCAGCCTGCAGACGACAGCACCTTTCCCAGGGCCTCTCTCACATAGCTTAGGGCCTCCTGGGGCCTCGACTCACCGACTCTCAGCTCCCCACCTGCGATGACCATGCACGCCACGCTCAGGACGTTGCTTCTGTCCACAGGGAATTCCAGAGTCCCCGTCACATACAGGCCTCTGAGCCACGGAAGATCTGTATCCACAAGGACAGTCCTGTCTGCAGAAGGGAAAGAAATGGCTCAGACATGTGACCAACACAAAAGTTCTCTCCTCCAGTGACTTACGCTGGGCTTCTCCAGGTAGTTCAGGACGGAGGGCAGGTGGCTTACCACACGCTGGGCTTTAATGAAGAGGCGGGGGACACGAGAAAGCATGACTAACCCATCCTGCCATTGCTTAACAAACCCAGGGTCATGGCCAAAGGCATCGCCGATGCCCCCAACCCTGTCCCAAGCTGACTTTAGAGCAAATGCACAGGTGAGCTCTGTACCCTTTGTCCCTGTCCCTCCAGTTTGGCTCTCGTTTCTGAGAGGTAAGGAACCATACCTATGACCTTGGATGTGAAGTCAGACTCCCTGGATGTGAATCCCAGCCAGGTGACTCACCAGCCGTGTGGACCAACATCCTTCCCTCTCTGTGCTTCAGCTGTCTAAGCTGGGAAGTGAGGGTGATGACAAGAACACCTGCGTCGTCCATAGGGCTTTGGTGAGCGTTAAATGAATCAAATGATCTGAAGTGCTTAACATACTAGTCAGCCATTCTCAGCTCCCTGACCCCCACCACGAAAAGTCAAGCGTCTGGTTCACGATCAATAAACGCTGGATATTTTCAGGATTAACACTGCTGTTCATCAGCCCAGCACACTTGCAGGGCTCCCTGGACAACCAAACACCATTACTCCTCATCTTCCTTTTCATACAAGCACTTTCCACACAACATCAGGAGAAAGAATCATTGATCTTCTCTAAAAGTAACAGCAGAGTATTACGTGAATAAAAATTCTCCTTTACAACAATAAGTACACCACATGTGCCAAAGTATTAAGTGTTACTTGCTGAGGCTTAGCAGTAATTCAACACAAATGAAAGATATCAAATAAATGTTTTCTCCTTAAATGGCAAGCACCATGATCACTGACACATGCAAAGATTTTCAAAGAATATTTCAAACCTAATCTCATGTCTCATTCCAGGAAACAATGCACCCTGTTGTTTTTTAAGGTCCTGCACCCCAAATTAACTTCTCAGGGGCTGTCTTTTTTAGTCCTTGGCTACCACCCTAGCAATGAGACCACCACACGTGCCCATGGCAGAGACTATACGGTTGTAAACCAACCATTTCCCTTTTCCTCCTGGATTCATAGTTAAACTATTTTTTTTTCCAGGCTCCTTTGCAATTAAATGAAGCCATGTGACTGGGCTGTAGTCAGTAAAACGTAGGTAGAAGTGCAGTGGAACATCTCCAGGCCTGGTCCCTAAATTCTCCTCTCTTCCCTTGTCTCTCAGTTAAACAGAAGAACACTGGTTCTCAAGGTGTGGTCATGGTCCAAAGGCATCAGCACCGCCCACTCATCCCTCAGAAGCAATGCAAGTCCTAGCTCTGCTAGTCAGCCATTCCTAGTCCCCACATTGGGTCTACTGCTCACCGTGTGGCAATCTCCTTCACTCTCTAGTGGCTCCCTGTGCCTTCTTATAACAGAGCAATAAAACACAGTACTGTCATCACAAACATGATCATTGTATGTAAGCAAGGAACTGTCCCTGGGCTGATCCTCAGTGTAATGATGTCTTTCTCTCCTGCTGTTACTTCCTTAGCAGAACAGGTCCGTCCATCTTTAAAAATCCTCAGTGCTTATTGTGACATCAAAGACAAAGATGTTAAATATACGTTGCCCAGATCTGTTGAGTTCACTTTCTCACCCACCTTAAAATTCAAGAGTTTATTAGTGGCTGATACAAAGTGAAGAATCAGGCTAAACAGATGAAAATAAACGTGTATTTCAAGTTCACACCTGCTACTTTGAACACATTCAAACAAAAGAGTGGAAGGTTTAACATACATTTTATAGGTTCATAACTAATATGACTTCAAGAGCCAGGCAAATTATTTCAAGCAAGCACCTTTAAATACCAGAATTCTATACAAAAGACCTGCATCTTTTCCAATCTATGGCCCTTTCTACCAAAGTTTGGCAGTTGAACCTGACTGTACGAAACAGCTGAATTTCTTCAATAAATGTTTTCTTTCATCCACAGAGTACTCTCTCACACACACACAAGCATGATACTTGAACATATTTCTCTGTTAAAATATGACATATTTTTGAACATATTTTGAACATATTTCTCTGTTAAAATATGACAATTACATGGAACTAAAAATTTCCCCTTTGGGATTTATCACATAGCCCCTTGGAAGAAATTTTTCTTTAATTGCCTTACTCACTCCAAATACACCAACAAATTCCCCACAAGTTACAATTAGCCTAACCGTTATCGGATCCATGAGAACAGAGACCATAGCTGCCATTCGTATTTTCATTTGCTCAGCACATAGACTAATACCTTGCATTTGGCAGGCACTCAGAGACACCACCAAAATGCACACATGTGCACACACACACTCCGCATGTAAAGCCAACAGGCATCAGAGGCAAAGTATAGAGTGAAGACAAGCATAGAAACATTGCTTTTATTTTTTTCAGTGCCACCTTTCACTTTGAAATGTCTTGGCCCCATCTATTCATCTTTTTTTTTTTCCTGACTCTTTCCTTCCCCAGTAAGTGCCAAATCTTTGAGAATTCAAAGATGAGGAAGAGACATGTTTCCCTGCATCAGATGAAGACAGATAAACAAACACAATGCAACAGACTTGAAACGATAAAGTACTTTTTCATCACATGGAGATTGACCTCATCTTCATTCGCAACTACTTCAAGATGGAGAGTCTATCAGCATGCCTCTTCTCACCAAATTCTGTGAAGATGAAATAAACATACGCCCTGTAAAGACTTTTATAAAGGATTTCTCCTGTATCAATGGCAACAGACATTACAGCTGTCATTGCAAGTGATGCCGGCAGGAGAATGCATCCTAACGTAGTCCCCAGGGCAGATCGGGGCCAAACTGACCAACCCTCAGTTGTAACGACAACTTTTAGAGGACTGCGCTCTGCTCCCAGTATGGGAAGTTAGGATCGATATGCCACAGTGTCTAGAAGTGGCGTGCTTTCCATGAAATTACTCAAGACAGTTCAGAAAAATCACTCAGCTACCTAACCCACTTAAAAACATAAGTGATGGACCACCTCTGATTTGACTATGGCCCAGTGCTTTCCACCTTGCCTTGACTTGGCCAAGGCTACTGCATCCAACTCTCGGTGACCGATCTATCCTACTTGAGAGAATGAACGCTGGCATATGGAGGGAACCATCTGGAATTTCTGTGGCTCGATGGGAGGCTGATGGGGGAACAGATCTGGAAAGAGACTCCAAAAAGAATTAATGAATACCAGATGTAATTAAAAACTGCTTTCCCCCCAAAGGAGCTCAGGACCAGCCATGGGATGGTGCCTCTTGGTTCCAAATTACACCCTCTTTCCACTTGTTCATCCATCAAACACTAAACATCCCACCATCTTTATTCTAGTAGTTTTTGCCAAAGCAACATTTTGAGGATTTTTTCCCTGCCCTGAAAGGGCTGTATTTTGACAATGAGTAGGACAAAGCTTTATAAATAATATCTGAAACATGAACACTAGGGAGGAATCACCTGACTTTCCCCATGTATCAAATGCAACAACAGAAACAACAGCAAAGAGGGTTTTAGTTGTCCCTAAATGCACAGCTACCCTTAAGACCAGAAAGCCTGAACCAAATCAAAAGGCAGATGTCTCTGACAGGGGACTAGGGCTTCTTTTCAATCAGGAGAGACCTGACCATCATAGCTACAAAGCATTCCATTCCGTATAGTTTCAACACTAGATTTAAACTCAGTTTTTCCCCCCAGCAAAGTCAGGGAACCAAGGTCACGATCGTGCAGCATTCCAAGGGTCTGACACTCGTCTAAACCCTGTAGAAATGAGATCAAAGGTGAGGGGCACAGATCCTAAGAATAACGATGAGGTCACATGAACAAGCACCATTTAGGACAGGCAGCCCCGCTGCTTGTACAGTATTCACTGTCTCACGCCCATAACGTAGGTGGCGAAGACAGTATCCACCGCACCCTGCTATTGTCAGGAACACAGGCTACCCCAACTTTGCACGTGGCTCCGATTTCTAGGGGAGAGTGACAGCGTGCAAGGACAGAACAGACACACAAGGACTATTTGTAGGTTTGCTATTTCCTGCACCTTCCACAGCTAACAAGCTTGTTTCTACATTCAGTCTTGGCTCCAATACTTTCCCATAAATATGAGAATGAATGGAAAAGTACATTTTAATATCATTTCAATCATTACTTAATGACCCACTCTTCCTTTTTAAAAGAAGAATATTTTTAGCTCTAAAATGACTACTTTAGAAGTAAGCCAGAAAAAGAAAGAAAAATACCACATGATATCACTCATATGTAGAATCTAAAAAAAAAAAAAAAGACACTATGAATTCATCTACAAAACAGACTCGCACACTTAGTA